AGTCAGGAATATCAAGACCCAGCAATGCCCATGGAGGCCAGAAGAGGGTGTCAGATTCCCTGGAACTGAAGTGATAGATAGCTGTTAGCTGCTATATGGATACTCAGAACTGAATCCAGTCCTCTGCAAGAACATTCAGTGCTCTTAATGGATATGTCATCTCTCCAGTCCTGCAAGTGTGTTTTTAAATTGTTAAATTGAATGAAGCTTTTAAAAAGTAAAGCCAGGAAACAAGGCACAAATGACTCACTTGGTAGAGTTTAGCAGTTAAAACATTTCTGAGTACCATAAGAATGTTTCTGTTGTCTTTAATTTTTTTCATTTAGTGTGTGTGTATGATGCTTGTTGACATGCATACCATAATGCACGTGCAGGAGGCAGAGGATAGTTTTGTGGAGTTGGTTCTCTCCTTCCACCTTTACATGGATTCTAGGCATCTAACTGAGGTCATCAGGCCTGAGCAGCAATTGCCTTTCTTTATACACGAGCCATTTTGCTGACGCCTTCATTGTCCTAAAGACATCTCCTGCTTTCATTACATTTCATAACTATGTAACCTTTGTTACAAGGGACTAGCAAGACATAATGCTGTCTAACTGAACAAACATTTTGGAATCTTTAGTATGTCTTCAGCAGGATGCTAACTGTTAGAGAGACAGAACTGGGTTAGAAGCATCCGTGTCAGTCTTCACTGACCAAGCAGAGGGAGGTGCAGTCATTGCTGCTCTTCTCACACATTTATATGTAGCTTTCATTGTTTGGTGAGAAAGAGAGATATGGTTGTGAATGGTATGACAGAATTGATCAGGGAGAAGACAACTAATTCTGCTTCTCTGTGATGGGGAAAGCTCTACAGCAAAAGCAACATTTGAACTTGAAATAAACTGTGTATTTTATTTGTTAGGGACACTATCAGAGTGACCCTGGGTGGATGGTAACAGAAAATCAGATGAACATGGTCTTAAATAGTAAAAAAAAATGAGGGGGTCTGGGAAGATGGCTCAGTTGGTCAATGCCTGCCAAGTGAGCATAAGGACCTGAGTTTGGATCTCCAGCTCTCATATTAAAAGCTGGTGTAGTGGCTTACACCTATGATCCAAGTACTGGGGAAGCAGTCAGGGGTCTTGCCCAATCAGTGAGCTGCAGGTTCACTGACAGAGGAAAATATCCAGCTCCAACTTCTGACTCCACACATGTGGAAAGGTCTCTAAGACACCTCTGATCAACCATTTGAGGGGAGGTATCCCACACCTGGCACTGGGCATTTTATTTAGCAACCTATGGCTCCTGGGATGAGCATACTTCCCCGTGACCCTGTGTAGGGTCTCTCCAGTTAAACTCCTTTACACACACACACACACACACACACACACACACACACAGACACACACTTTACTTTTTAAAGCAAGGAAATGAGGACTGGGGTAGAATGCTTACCTGGTCTGTACTAAGACCCTGGGTTTGTTTCCCAGTAATAGTAGAGAAAAATAAGGAAAAGTGTTAGCTCAAATGAAGTCAGAAAAGGGGCAGGAGCAGCAGAAATGTTAATTCAGGGCTCAGCGTACCACCAAAGACACAGCTGCTTGCTGTCCTTCTGGTCTTTCTCCGTGTGTGTTGGCTTTCCTCTCAGGCAAGTTCTCCTAGTTAATGGTTTAAGACAGTCTAGGAATCACACCCGAGCAAGACCACGGTGATGGTCAAAAGTTGGAAGAGAATGGCGCTCTCTCTCTCGGGAACTTCAGCTAACTCCTTTGCAATGTCAGTGGCTAGAATTGTGCTGCTGTCCCTGAATGTGCCAACCTTTGTGATGGGAATGAGACCAACAGTAGCTGCTGGATCTGGACTCTTCCTCTAGTGTAGTATATGACCATGAGACAGCAATGAGAAGGTAAATATGTTGTGTAGACGGCAAACTGAAAAAGCTTTGGGATTCTATTTATTATTATTTATTTATTATTATTACTTCTTTTTATGTGTATGAGTGCATTGCCTGCATATATATAAGTGCACCATGTCATGCAATGCCCGCAGAGGTCAGAAGAGGGCATTGGATCCCCTGGAAATGGAGTTAAGGATGGTTGTTGGATGGTTGTTGACCACCGTGTGGGTGTTGGGAATCGAACCTGGGTCCTCTGCAAGAGCAGCCAGTGCTCTTAACTGCTGAGCCATCGCTCCAACCTCAAGCTTTAGGATTCTTGAGGAGTTGGTATCATTCAATAACAGGGAAACTACCGGGGTAGGGAGAGCTTAGTTTGAAAAGAAAGTCAAAGGCATTCATGGGTTGGTAGCATGTTGGAATGTATATTTAATCTCTATGCTATTGAGTGGTGCCATTTTCCAGAAAAAAATTCTAATTACAGCGGTTTGAGCAAATAGTATCATTTTAAGCAAGATGCTCAGTCTAGCTTGAGATCGCCAACAATAATAAATAATGCAAAAATATTAAGAGTATTAGAAAAGTATCATATATATAATATCATCGTATGTATCATATATATATTCGTATATAATATGTATTCTCCACACAAAGAAACTGCCTTGGTTTTGTTCCTGATTAAGACGAGGAAGTTAATTAGGGAAGAAAAGATTCATTTTAAATGGCTCAGTGGTAGAGCACTTGCCTAGCATTCCTCTCTCTGGCACCCCCAGAACATAAAACAACAAACAAAAACAAAGCACAATAGCATTTTGCTATGGGTTATTCTTTCAGAGTATTTCTGATTCTTGAATAATTAACTCATCAATCACAGAATACTTTTTAAAAAGGGAAAATAAGACAGCCACCCTGGTTTACCCTCCCCTCCCCTCTCCTCTCCTCTCCTCTCCTCTCCCCTTTTTTTTCGTGACAAAGTGTCTGGCTGAGTTAGAATACTGCGCCCTCTTGTGACCAACATTGAGCCAATAGGTTGAAACAGAACCCTTGTAAGCAGTTAGGAAGGCGGAAGCAGGAAAAATAGGAAAGGGCTGCCCCCTTCAGGACAATGCTGTTATTACGCTTTTATGTTGGAAATTCCTGGTTCACAAGTCCTTGAAACAATTCCTAGTGTTTATGCGGGTGTGCTTAGTTATGATTGTTGACTCTGATTCCCAGAGAAGATTTATATTTGACCTATCTTGTAGTAAAATTAAGTTTCAAAACTCACCTATTAATTTCTACATTTTTCTATATCCTTGGTTTTACAACATGTACAAGATAAAACAATTATAATAAGCATTTTTTTTAATTTCCCCAAACTTTACCAACTATAATTAGCATATGAGGGCAACATCTTAGGAGGATGAAGCTTTAGAAGGATGATTAGACTGGGGAATTTGGTAGTCAAAGATGATTTCTAAATACTAAACATTTTCAGATCAGTTTCTTTGAATATTATTTCCAAATCTCATGGTATGTAAAGCTATGGCCCAGGACCAGTGAGATAGCTCAGCAGATAAAAGCACTCACCCACTAAACCTGACTGCCTGAGTTTGATCCCTGGGACTCACATGGTAGAAGGAGGGAACTAACTCCCATGAGTTGTCCTCTGATCTCCACATGAACTCTGTGGCACATACATACATGCACAAATAAATACTAAATAAATAAATAAATGAAAGGTTTGTATGACCTCATAAGAGTTTATTCTGTCCACTGTCTGGCCACTTGACCTCTAGTTGCATACTCAAGGGAAAAGAATTATTTATACATACTTCATGAGACACCTGTAAGATTGTTCAAAGATCAGTTCTCTCTAAAGCAACTTACTGGGGAAAAATCAGTCATTCATAAATAAATGATTCAAAATAATAAAAATGAATTTGCACATGTGCACAGTAATTACACAGGGATCATTTAAAATGAGAAAAAATAGGGGCTGGAGAGATGACTCAGAAGCTAAGAGCTCTGACTGCTCTTACACAGGACTCAGGTTCAGCTCCTAGCACACGCACAGTGGCTAACAACTGTCTATAAATCCTGTTCCAGGGGATCTGACACCCTCTTCTGACCTCTGTGGGCATTGTACAACACGAATGTACTTACATATAAGCAGGCAAAACACTTATACATATAAAATAGGAATAAATTACGTTTTTTTAAATGAGCAAAAATGCACGATCCTAGCAAATGAATAATTCTCTAACAAATACATAAAATATGTCTTTCTGTGACAGTTCCATGTTCGGGTTTTCATCTCTATTTAAGTAAATATGCACATAGGAATATGTGTGTTGAATCCTGACATAGATTCAAGACACAAGTGTAGAAAATAGAAAGTATATTCATGTGTACACATATTGCTAAAAACATGAAAATAATTGACCAGACAGATATTTTTTGACAATCGTACTAATTATTTAAAGCATATATTCAAAAACTTTAATGAAAATTGTCCCACATAAATCTATAACAAAAGTTAAAACAAACCTTCAAGAATTTCCCCAGGTTTTCTTTTATATTTCTTTTTAAACAATTTTTTAGTTTATTACCTATTTTTATTAATCTTGTTTTATTTTATGTGTATGAGTGTTATACCTGTATGTGCATTTTGTGTGTATAAGTGTTATGCCTGTATGTATATTTTAAGTGCACCCATTGTCATGCAATGCCCTAGGAGGACAGGAGAGGGCATTGGATCCCCTGGAACTGGAGTTATGGATGGTTGTTAGCTGCCATGTGGGTGCTGGGATTTGAACCCAGGTCTTTTGCAAGAACAACCAGTGCTCTTAACCCAGCTCACTACACAAGCTTGACAATGTCAGTTTGATCCCCAGAACCCATGTAAATGTGGAAGGAGAGGATCAATTCCACAAAGTTGTCTTCTGTTCTCCACATGAGTGCCATGGTATACATGCAGGCAGAGGAAGGCAGATCACTGCAAAATCAAGGCCAGCCTGGTTCACATAGTGGCTTCCAGGTAGGCTGGGACTAGGGAGACCCTGTCAAAATAGTAATAATAATAATAATAATAATGTTTAAAAACCTTTTATTATAACCGTGCCTTTTCAATTTTCCCGTGTAGGTATCTCTGATGACTATATAACACCAATGTTCAGTTTTTATAAAAGTGTTGGAGAACTGAAAATGACTCAAGAAGAATACGCTCTGCTCACAGCAATTGTTATCCTCTGTCCAGGTGATTTCATGGTTACATTTGAAATTTTTACTTTCCTTCATTCTCAGTGTGTATAGTAAAGAGAATAACAGAAAACAGAAAAAAAGAAAGTAAAATGGTAAATAATTCCATCATACAAATAGAACCATTATTAATATTTTCATATACTTTTGGGTCTTTTTATAAAATATCCTCATGGAGTCAGTAGACACCTGTTGAATACCTCCTATGTGCAGAATATGGCTCTAGGCATGAGGAGAGCATCAGGAAACAGCTTCCAGGAGGCTCAGGGTCTAGAACAGTGAAGAAGTAAATGAAGAAACAAAAATAAACTTTCAGAAAGTGGAAAATTCTGTAAAAAATATAATAAAGAGCCAGACATAATAACTCAGGCCTATAGCCTCTGCCCTTGGGAAGCTGATGGAGGAGGATAGCCTGGGCTGTCTCAAAGAAATTATAGCAATATGACTGTAATTGAAGGGAGTGGGGCAAAATGCTGTTTTCATTAGTGGTCAGGGATGGCTTGTCCAAGTGCTTGACATTTGAGCAGTGTTCTAGTCTGTTTCTCCATTGCTGTGACAAAACACTCTGACCAATATCAACTTGGGGAGGAAAGGGTTTATTTAGCTTACATATCCCAGGTCACAGTTCATCTGGGAGCCCAAGGTAGGAACTCAGGGCAGGAACCTGGAGGCAGGAGCAGGAGCACAGGCCATGGAGGAACACTGCTTACTGGCTTACTCCCCTGACCCCTGCTCAGCCTGCTTTCTTATGCAACATAGGCCCACCTGCCCAGGGGTGGCACCACCCACAGTGGGCTTGGCCCTCCCACATCACTCATCAAGAAGATGCCCCTTAGACATGGCCACAGGCCAGCCCAATAGAGGCAATTCCCCAACTGGGCTCCCTCAACCCAGGTGTGTCAAGTTGACACTAAAGCTATCCAGCACAAGCAAGAATATCAAAGACATTTTTACTTTATAACAAAGAACATTCTATCTTTTAAAAAATTCATATTTCTTCAAAAGACTCCAAGTAATTAAAAATTAAGTTGGTAGAAGTTTGTTACAAGGCATGTATTAGATTCCACAGTATGACTGTACAGAGATATACTTACTGTTTATTAGATACTTATAGTATCTTGTTGTTTTAGAAAATGTGGAAATGAATACTTCTGTGAAAAAAATTTGTCTGTTTAAAAATTTTACTTTAATAATTTGGGCGCAAGCAATACTACATTCATAGTTTGCAAAACATACTGTTAGGCTTCAATCATTTTGATATATGATAATTAGGCAGACTTTAGCTGCTTTTCTGTTGCTATGATTAAACACCATGACCAAAGCAACTTATAGGAGGAAGAGTTTATTTGGGCTCATAGTGCTGAGAGCTCACAAAGGAAGAGAGGGCAAAAATGGAAGAGGGAGGAAGCTATGAATCCTCAAAGCCCACCCCTAGTGATGTGCTTCCCCCAGCAAGACTGCACCTCCTCAAGGGTCTACGACTTACCCTTACACAGTGCTGCCAACTGACCAAGTGCTCAAATACTTGAGCCTAAAGGGGACATTTCTCATTCAAACCTCCACAGCCATAAATAATTATGATTGAAAAAAGAAAGAAAATTGTTCGGCAGAGCCTCCTAAGCCTTACACATGTAGAAATACCCTGTGACCTAGCAAGCTTGGGAATATCTCCACCAGAGGGGACACTTGGACCTAGTATACAGGTTTCTTTTAGGGGCTTTGATTGGAATGGGGGTTTGGGAGAACTTCTGGGAGCATTTGATGTTCTGTACCTTGATCTACATATGATTCCATTAGCGTATGTATGTATGTATGTTTATGTGTATACATTCATTACAGTGAACATTTTATATATTTAAATGTACATTTGTAAACACACATTTCAGTCAACTTAGTCATTGCCATAATGATGTCAAATTAATGTTTTCCCACTTTTTTGTTTTGCTATTTGACTTTGAACTTCCAAACAGACAGACAATACATAAAGGACAGAGAGGCAGTGGAGAAGCTTCAGGAACCTCTGCTTGACGTGCTGCAAAAATTGTGCAAGATTTCTCAGCCTGAAAACCCTCAGCATTTTGCCTGTCTCCTGGGTCGCTTGACTGAACTTCGGACATTCAATCATCACCACGCTGAGATGCTGATGTCTTGGAGAGTGAATGACCACAAGTTCACCCCACTCCTCTGCGAGGTCTGGGATGTTCAGTGATGAGCACAAGGGAGGGGCTCGCTCCTGTTCTTGTAACAGAAATCTCATGTTTGACTTTTCTTGATTTCATTTGTACCTGGCTTCACTTAAGAATCTCAGTGAATATTTATGCAGCAATTGTATAACTTCCATAGTTGTAAATACAGACTAGATAGAATTGCTTTCTCTATATTATGTTTCACAAGGCTTCAGGGAACCCTATGTTTTAACTGGCATGCCCTGTTTGCCTAATTAAATCAATTATTACTTTATTTCTCTGTCTGTTGAACTAGGGCAAATCTTGTTTTGCTGTTCATCTGGCAATATTACATTTATTAAAGAGCTATGTTCAACTATGGCAATAAACTGAACATAATAGTAACAGGTTTTTCTTTGGGAACAGAATTTGACAAGTCTTTCTTTAAGTGATGATGGACATCTTTTTGAATCTGGGGGAGTGTTTCTCTCCCTGGAGAAGTCATCATTGATATTCATTCATTTGTAGTAGCTTTCTGATTATTCAGGAAGTTAATGATTTTCACATCAAATACTCCCTGAAGCAATCCCTTTTCTCACAGTCAGGGTCTTAAAGCAGCATTTCCAAACAGAGCATGCAGATAGCAACAGTGATAGACACTCTCTCTTCTCTCTTGAAAGTGCTCACTGTCAATGGGGCTGGAGAGATGTCTCAGTAATTAAGAGCACTGGCTGCTCTTGCAGAGGAGCTGGGTTCAGTCACCAGCACCCACATGGCAGCTAACAACTGTCTGTAACTCCAGTTCAAGGGGATTCAACGCCCTCTTCTGGCATTATGCACATGGATGTACTTACATTTTCTGCCCTCTGCAGGCATTATGCGCGTGAGTCTACTTACATCTATGCAGGCAAACACTCATACAATAAATAAATAAATAAATACTTTAAAAAAGAGAAAGCTCTCATTCATTAATGGCTTCAGCACATACAATTAATCATTTTTTTCATTTTTTTAAAATACCACTTTTACAGCTGGGTGCACAGCTGTTGTGCTTCTCCCCAAACAGGAATTTAATCATTTCCTTCCTTCATTGTTCAACTATAGCAGTCTTTCCCCTAATACAATAAAATGCCTTATGCAAGTAACGGCCTGAGAACACCCTTTCTCCTGAAGTCAGGCCAAATGAAACTTTCTTAGTAGGCAAAGAGTTTTTAATACTGAAATACAAAGCAGCCTTGGGATTAAAAAATAATCAGTGGAAATGGGGATGTGTTGGAACTAGCACTGGTTGGATTCTACATGATACAAAAACAAAAGTTCTCTTTAAGTGCAAGTAAGATTCTTTTGCTAAACTCCATGGGGTGCTGTATAAAGATGACAGAGGTACAGTAACTGCCTGGAGGGTGGGGTTCAAAGGACTGCAGAGGGAAGTACTGCGGGCTAACCCAGGAACCTGATAAAGTTTCATGGTGGAGGTACAGTTTCCCCTGGGCTTCAAAGGAGAGCCTCCCGGTCCGTGGGTCACAGATCCCAAAGTGGAAGAGGGGAGCAGAAACAGAAGGAGGAAGGTTGGAACTAGGCAGATTCTCCCAAACACCAGCCGTGATCTGACAGAGGGAGGCAGAGTAGACCATTGCTAAGTGCAGGTCAGAGCCCTTTGTTTAGAAGGATTAGTTAATGGGGCTGGAGAGATGGCTCAGTGGTTAAGAGCACTGACTACTCTAGCAGAAGACCTGGGTTCAAATCTCAGCACCCACATGGTGGCTAACAACTGTCCAAAACTCCAGCTCCAGGAGATCTGAGACCTTCTGTCTTCAGAGGGCATGGGTGTACTTACACACATACAGGCATAACACTCATACACATGAAGTAAAAATAAATAAGTTAAAAAAGAAGGATTTAGTAGATGAAGAGTATGTGGGGATGTGCAGGCCCATCTGTAGAGAGACACGGTGAGGGGAGGGAATTAAGACAAAAACGTTTCTGAAAGCTTGAAAGGATAGATTCAGTTTGAGGGAACTGAGTGTGGTTTGATGTCTCAGGATCACAAGCAACATGTGGGGGAAGTGGTGGGAAGTGGGGACTTGTGGGACACTGCAAACAGAGCTAGATGCGTCATCCTCCTTGCGTGGATGCACTCAAGTGCTCAAAACCTTGGGATAGAAAATATAATGCTTACCATATGAAAAAGTAATCGTGATACTATAAGAAATACATATTTTGCACTTTCTTCCCAGTTCCTGACACAGCTTAAGAAACCCTTGGAATTCTGAGCAGTGGGGTAATAGGAGCATCTTTTGGTATTCATGACAAGCCCCCTTTAACCATATCTAAACATATACTACTAAAATGACTCTTGGTAGGCCACTAGACACTTCAGGATGGGGCATATTGCTACAGGAACCAACCATGTGACCATGTGATTAAAGAACTGGAAATTTTAGTCTCAACCCCCAAAATCTACGGAGGGGAGAAGGGCTAGGGATCAAGTTCAATCACCAAAGGCCAACTATTTAATAAATCTTGCCTGTGTGGGTAAGTCTCCATAAAATCCTTAAATAATGGGATTTGGAAAACTTCTGGGTTGGTGAATATACTGAGGTGGCTTGGAGGGTGGTATGTCAGAAGAGGTCATGTAGAAGCTCCATGTTCCTCAAACCCTTTACCTTCTCCTGTACATATTTTCCATTTGGCTTTTTCTGAGTTATATTTTAATTTTTTTTTTAGGGTTAGGAGCCTTTAATGCTTAGTCTGAAAAATCACAGGCTGAGATTCTCATAATGTTGTCCAACTCTTGTAGGGCCACAGGTAAAGGACTTCAAAGTGGACAGGAGCTTCTCTTGTAGTGCAGTGTCACACCCGCCCTCCAGCCCAGAGATAGGCAAGCAGGAGGAGTATGGAGTGAACACCACGAGCCAGGCTGCTGCAAGGCACTCTGCAGTATCAGTCAGTCCTCACACCACCCCAGGAGGCATCATCCCCCTTTACAGAGGCATCTGAAGCTTAGAGAGGTTGGTCAATTTATCCATCAAAGAGTTTACAAGCAGGTCAGGCACTACAACCCCAGGACTCAGGAGGCAGAGGGAGGCAGAAAGATCACAAGTTTGAGGTTTGATGCCAGCCTGAGTTACACAGTAAAATCCAGTCTCAGAGACTAGGAGAGAGAGGGAGTTCACAAGGGGAGGGGGTGAAGCAGCAAGGATGAAAACCCTGAAGTTCACTCTCTTCTTCATTTTGTTTTTTGAGACAGAGCCTCATGTATCCCAGGCTGGCCTTGAACCCCCTATGCAGCCACTAATGACCTTGAATTCTTGATCCTCCTCTCTCCTGGGATCACAAGGCTTTGCCAGTACACCTGGCTCTGACTGTGGGCACTGGAGGCCCAATACTGGTTGCTTAGGATGCTCTTGGGGAGGGGTCAGCACATGCACCCCAATGCACAACCAATCTGGGACCACATCCACTTCCCCAAAGGGCACCCCAGTCTGAGCCATGCCAAAGGGTGCAGGATTCATGCCTAGGAAGAGGACTTGCTTGGGGCCCTGGCAGTAGTGAGTCACATAGCCACAGGCAGTGTGGCTCCCATGCATAATCCACTGGGTTGTAGGTGACACCCACAGGCTCTGGAAACTGCAGCTGGCTCAGCTCAAGTTCCTCCTTGAGGAAGTCCTCCACCAACCTGCGAGTGCAGAGCTGAGGCTCCGCCTGGGCACCTACAGGCTCATGGGCAGGTCCCAGCGGGCAAGTCTGGGGCACAGCCATGCAGCTGTCACCTTTCTATTAACTCCAGGGAGTTTATTAGAATCCCAGCCACTAGCTTTCCTTTGGAGGCACACCAGGAATCCGTAGGTACAGTACGCAAATCCTTAGATCAAAAGCAATGGAGCCAATGGAGCGTAAGCGCTTCAAAGGGCCACTTGGGGTCTCAGTTCGAGGGCGCGGCACCCTAGGCATGCACAGAACCGCCCTGAACCCGCCAAGACGCAGACCCCCCCACCCCGACCCCGCTCCAGCCTCCTACTCCTCCACCTCGAGTTATATTCTTTTTAACAAACTGGTAATAATGAATGGTATGATTTGCGTCTGAGATGTTCCCCATTTGAGCACTTGGGCCTCCCCAGCTGGTGGCATGATTGTGGAAGGTTATGTGGAGCCTTTGGAACATGGAACTTCGCTGGTGGAGACAGATCACTCTCCAGTTCTGTCCTGGCTTTCTGCTTCTTGATCGAGTTGTGAACAAACTGTTCTGCACGCACCTGCTGCCACAAACTGAGTCACTCTTACCCCCACCCCCCATGCCCTCCTTACCACCGTGTGCTGTGCCTTCTAAACTGTGAGCCCAAGTAAGACTCTCCTTCCTTAAGTAGCTCCTGTCAGGCATTTTGTCAGAGCAACTTATGGGAGAAAAGAAACTAATATATTGAAACTATTTTCCTGAGTCCTGCACCCTATTCTAAGGATACTAAACCTAAGAAGGGGGTTGTGGGAACCCTAAATTTAGAGCTGGTTGGTCAGTAGTCTAGGTGTTAACCTGGGACTTATGACTGACATTTGGAGAGAGGGGACTTATGGGACTGAATCTTGAACCTGTGTCTCTACACTAAATCAAGATAATTAGCTTAGGGATGGGTACCTAGCTCAGGTTTGCCTAACACACCCTCAGTTTAATCCTAGCACTGTCAAAAGATAGTGTCAGATATTGAACACCTAGTTGGTATCAAAAGTGGATAATAAAAATAAACAAACAAAAGTAGACAAGACCCACACATTCAGTGTCAGAGCATTCTGAGTAGAAAAAGTTCAGTAATGGATTTTCTTCCCCTCTAGAAAGAATTTTTGTGAGACTTTAAGAAAAATCTAGGTGTTCATTCCTTGGACTCCCTTCCACTCTCAGGAGCTCTTTTTCACTTTTCTTTAATCTATATTTGTTCTGCTAGAAGGAAAGGAAGGAAGGAAGGAAGGGAGGGAGGGAGGGAGGGAGTTAAGAGATGGAAGCAACCTAAGTGTCCCTCAATTGATGAGTGGATAATGAAAATGTGGTTCATTTATATGATGGAGTTTTACTCAGCAGTAAAGAAAGATGAAATCATGAAATTTGCAGGTAAATGGATGGAACTAGAAACTGTTAAACTAAGTGAAGTAACATGGACTCAAAAAAAATCTACATATGTTCTCCCTCATATGTGGATCCTAGAACAAAATCCTGATAAATGAGTATGTATCCAGACATAACTACAGGAACCAGGATAATGGAAAGGAACCAGGGAGGTAAAGGAAAAGAAAGAACCTGAAAGAGAAGAACAGTAGGAAACAGGCCTTAATAAGGGAGATATGGATAAAAATTGGGTTAGTTTAAGGGAGGGGGGAGGGAAGGGTATACAAGGAACCTAGGGGATAAAGGGAAA